CCTGATGTCCTCAGACGTGCGACGCCATGATTTGTTCGCAGCGTGGGCCGCACAGGTCTGCACCTTTTCCTGGGGCTTCGGGAGCGAGGTTCTGTCGTTGTATGCGTTCCAGCGCTCCCAGAATTTCAGAGCACACGATTCTGGGAGCGCAACGGGGTGGTGACGGGCCTGGGGTTCTCGCGCGGACTTCAACCATGACAACACCGCAAGTGGATGTGCAAGCTATGTAATGCAATGCTGGTGATGTAAGCTATTTGGTGCAATCTATGTGTCGCAAGCCATGTGGTGAGAGCTATGCTGTGCAAGCTGTGTGGTGCAAGATGGGTGGTGCAAGCTATGTTGAGGGAGCTGTGTGGTGTACGCTCATTTTGTGGTGCAAGCTCTGTGGCGCAAGCTATGTGGTGCAAGCTACGTGGCAAAGGCTACGTTGTGAAGGCTACGTGCTGGAGTCCATGTGGTGCAGGCCGTTGTGCGGTGCGGGGCACAGGCTGTGCGGTGACAGCTCTGCTGCCGCTCGCGAGGCGTGCACGGGCGGGCACCAAGGGAGCCTTCCGCGTGACCCCCCCCCCCCCCCAGCGCGGGGCGCCTGCGAGACTCCCGCGGGCGGGCACCCGGGGGAAGCCTCGGCGGACAGTCAGCCCGCACAGCAAGGACGGGCAGAGCTCTCCCAGGGGTGTCCTCGCATCCTTGCCTCCTCGGTCTAGCCTGGGCCGCTTTCGTTGACCGCGCCCCGCTCGAGAAGCTTCGAAGGTGGCCTTCCGAGGCCCGTGCATCCTCACCGAGCGTTCTTTCTGGTACGGGTCGGCTGTGCCAGGCGAGCGCGGAGCGCCCACGGGGCGTCCACGAGGCGCCCACGGGAGGGCACCATGCGAAATTCGGCGTGCCCCTCGCGCGGGGCGCCCATGGGCGTCACCGAATTCTTTTTAACCATTTCGGCCAGAACCTTTACATGCAAGCACTGTTCGGGGAGCCATCCATCGAGTTTTTTTAATGAGACTGGGACCTGCGGACTGGAACCGTTGCAGGGATCAGAAGCACCTAGCCCTCGCAGCCTGTCGGCCCCCACGGGGGGCGGTGGATATCTGCGTTGTTCTCCCCCTCCCGCTCACTGCAGCCAAACATTAAGCCGATGCTCCAACGTGTTGTCCTCCTGGAAGCCGAACTCCCCGAAAGTCCTCCGCACTCAATCCAGGACCCTCCATGAGAGCACCACTGCGAGCGTTCATACCGAGTCATTCGGGAACATGGTCGAGTCCATGGGATGACCCGACACCGACCCTTCGCCCAACACCACAGGTCCGAACCTCAGTGAAAGAGAGCTGCTCGGGGTCCGTCCCGCCGCTGCCACTTGAACGCCCCCCGAGGGAACCGAAGTTTGGCACGACAGCTTCGCCAAAAGACCGCGTGGCATGCAGAGGTACGACCGCGCAAGACGCCCCCCCGTAGCCACCCACCACGACGGCTGTACCACGTCAATTCCTTGGCGCTTCCCGATGGAACGCCATACCGCCGCCCCAGCAGTCGGCCCCGCGCCTGAGATTGGGCGCCACCGCCACGAGAGCAGTGCTCGCATGTAGCCTCACGAGCTCGCCAGTGTGTGCATGCAAATGTGCGTCGTGTCTCAGCCCTGCTTCACGGCACGCAGGCATCAACGTCACGTTGTATGAACCGTTTCGGCAGTCCTTGCCGCAAGACCCATTCGTGTGTCTTCGTGGCCATGCCCGCGCGTTGATATGTCCCTGGAAGGACAGGCGGAGACAGGATCGCAGAAGAGTCAATGCATGTCTGGTAAAGTGGGCAGCGTGCCCTGGGAGCAAGTTGGTGGGATATCTGGAACAGGCGTACGGCATGGCGATGAAGATCAACGTGAATTGCGCGAAGACAAGGGAGAACATGGCCATCGCCCTCCTCGAGGTTCCAGCTACGCGTAAGGGTGACCCTTCGCCAGAGCGACCTGTGGAGCTGACTCACGGGGGTCCCCCGACCGCTGAGCGCGATACAATAGCAGCGGCGTGCGTTGTTTGGCTTGGCTCCCCAGACGCCCGACGTCGTGATTTTTTTCATACCGTGGCTCCCCATGGGTCTGGACTTATTCCCGCGGGCCAGCTTTTCATCCTGGGTAGTTTTTCGACAGCCCCGTTGCCCAGCAAGGCTCCCCGGAGGCCGACAACATCAAACAATCTCAGAGTTTCGCGCTTACCTCCGAAAATGTGTGTTCATGCAGTTGTCTGCTCCTCCAGGTAAGGGTCCCCAGCAGCCGTAAACACTCAAACATCTGCCACCGTGAGGCCGCGCACCAGAGGTCGCTCCACTACCTAGTGGGGCACCCTTCCGCGTGCGGTCGGAGGTCGGCTGCCAGCGCCTGCAGCAGAAGGACCCCCTGGGAGAACCCTCCTCGATGGCTCAAAGATGGGGCCCCGAGGGATGAGGCTCCCATGAATCCCAGGTTAGATTTGCATTGTCTGAGCATTGTCTGAGGGTCAGACAATGCAAATCCAACCTGGGATCCTGTCCTGTTGTCCCCAAGCCGTTGAGGGTGGCCGGGGCAGGACTCCCCGTGAGCTCAGGGTGGCTGGATTTGGCCCCTTCTGGGAGTGGAGGGCCTCGCACTCGTCAGTTCAAGGCTGGGTTGGGCGCTCGCTGATGCCCAGTGTCAGCCCCGGAATGAAACAGGGGGGGGGCCCGCAGCAGCAGCCCGTGCAGCAGATGCCCGAGAGAACGGGAGGGGCGGCCGTCCAGGCGGACGCTGGGCCGCTCAAGCAGGCGCGATTCTTGGCCCCGAGCGTGCCGCTCTACGTCTCTTGGCATCGCTGGGGCGTGCGCCTTCTTGTGCTCGGCGGGGACCCTCGAGGAGCATCTTGGACCCTCGCGCGAGGACGCTGCACACGCGAAGCCGAGCCAAACGAGGAATGGCCCTCCGAGCGATAGCGAGCCTCTGGTGAGCCCACACGAACCGTCAGGCCCAAGGCAGGTCGTCCTCGGGGCCCCCTCCCTCGAGCCGCCGCCCTCCGAGGGGGGCGGTCGGGGGAGGCATCGGGGGGGCTGCCAGAGGTGCCCCCAGGGCCCAGGATGCCCCCTGGCTTTTTGCCCTTCCCTTTCGGAGCCCCCTCGGGCCCTCTGGGCCTCGTGAATAGTGTGCCTTTGGAGGTCGTGGGGGCCTCCTCGTGCCTCTGGGCCCCGGGTGCCCCGCAGCTTCTGCCCGACTTTGGGAGCTCCCTGGGGGGCCCCCCTGGGCCTCGTGATGGGGGTGCTCTGGCGGTCGTGGGGGGGCCTCCTCGGGAATCCTGGAGGCACCCCTTGGGCCGGGGGCCGAGTCCAGCAGCACCCGGGGAGGGGGCGGCGAGGTGGGGTGGGGAGGGGGGCAGGCATGCGTGCTGGCGCGGTGGTGCTGGGCGCGGGGAGCTCCCAGAAGGGGGCCTCTGGGGGGGGGGCGGGGAGGCAAGGGGGGGGGAGGAGGAGGAAGCCTGGAGGGGGCGGGGCCTGGAGGGGAGGAGGAGGAAGCCTGGAGGGGAGGGGGCCTCGGGGAGGGGGGGGCGGGGAGGCGGGGGGGAGGGAGGAGGAGGGAGCCCAGAGGGTTGGCACCGGCACCAAGCATGGGCGCTGTGCCCTTCCCCCGGAGGGAGGAGGAGGATATCCCACGACCTCGGTGATGGGAGGGTGGTACTGCTCGGGCTTCCTGTGTTGGTGCGGGTGCCCATGTCCGAGCCTCCAAGAGGCGTGGGGGAGGAGGAGAGGAGGAAGGGGGAGGAGGGAAGAGAGGGGAAGAGAGGGGGGGGAAGGGGTGTGAGGAGGGAAGGGGAGCAGAGAAGGGGGGTGGAGGTAAGGGCGAGGAGGGAAGGGAGGGAGCGGGGAAGGAGGGGGGGGGCGTCGGGGGAGGAGGAGGAGGAGTCGCAATTCGCGCGTCGCGGCATACACAAGCCACATGCAACAAGAAATCGGCCTCCCAGCAGGTGCCCCACGGAAACCTCTGATCCCTCAATGGCCCCAGGGACCCACAGGCGCTCTGGGGCAACGTGGGGCCCTCCCAAATCGACGAAGGATAAGATCTCTTCATGATAATGGTTACTATCGCGTGTGATTACTGTTCGCCAGGGAGCTGCCCTGCTGCGTGCTGCCGGTGCGGGCGCGCGAAGATCATCACGCGTCGCGCTTCGCGTGGCGCAGCGTGTAGCCAGGCGACCTCGAGGGCGCAGGACTCGTTGTCGAGCTCGACCCTCCACCCCACCCAAACCAGAGCCTGTGATGTCATGGGTCCTCTCCTGCGCTATGATACTTCCCGTCCTCCGCCTCCTCCTGCCGCCCCCTCTCCCCGCCTCCCTCCCAGGCTTGCTTCAAGCAGCACGAGAAAAGCGAGGGAAGGGGCCGCGGGCGACTCTGCCTTTGAAGTTCAGGCGGGATGTGAGTCCCCGAGCGGTGTTGGCGGGTCTAGTGGAGATTTCGTGCCAGCAGGAGGGAGGAATCTTCTTCCAGGGCCGGCCCCCAGGGAGGAGGCACTGGAGCTCGAGATCAGCACTGCGACGGCAGAGCAGCGCTCAGGCATTCAGAGCCTCGTGGGCAGCTCGTTACTCGAAGTACTACATCAGCAGTGGACTCAGGCTTGTCGCATGATCGAGCCTTCACGTGCGCGCATGGGTCATCGCCCAGCGCGCCAACACTTCCCCGCCCTGGGCAGCGAGACGGAGACTCCTCCTCTTCCTCCTCTTCTCTCCTCCTCCTCCTCCTCCTCCTCCTCCTCCTCCTCCTCCTCCTCCTCCTCCTCCTTCTTGGGCACACTTGGGGCACCCTGTGCGTCCGAGCCCGCTCCGTCGAGCCTGCTGCGCGCGAGCAGGGGCCCGGGGAGGCCGAATCTGGAGGAACAGATGTGGGCGTCGCGTAATGGGGGGGGGCGATAAAGGGGAGGAGGGGGGGGGGGGGCGGCGAGGGTTCTGATGTTCCAACTAATTTTAGCCTCGTTCACCCGAAATGATCTCGAGCTCCACAAGAATACCGAAACTGGAGGG